GGTGTCATTTCCTTTCACCTCAAGAGGCATCTGGAGCTGGTATTAGACTGGTGGAAAACCTTAGCTAAAAACACTAGACTCTCGGGTATCTTAACCTTCTTGGTGTTTAACTTTTTTTTTCTTTTTTTCTTTAATTTCTTTTGGAGATAGATAGGAATGTAACCCAGACTATCCTTGGACTCACTATGTAGCCCAAGCTGACCTTGAATGACCTAGAACGTGTAGCATAATCCTCCTGCCTCAGCTTCCCAAGTACTGGTGTTATAAACATGAACCGCCATTTCTGACTTGCTCAACAATTTATTTATGTGCAAATATTTTATTCACAGGTAGGTCATTTGTAAAGCCTTGAATACTTTTTACTGACAGTTTCTTCCAGTTTTATAGTCTTTGTTTTGTTTTTCTGGAATTTTCCAAACTTGGTTCTGCCATCACTGGATGTCCCCCCACTTATGTGTTATTTTTTCTGAGTAGAGATGGCTTTCGTGCTGTGATGAACTGTATCCCATGGTTTATAGAGACTGGGTTCAGTACCAAGCGGGCACCTGCTTTTCTTTGCTAAGGGTGAAGGAGAAGGGGAGAGGGATAAAGCAAGAAGTGATTGGCCCATCACCTTGCATGAGTCCTTGAGCCCCAAATTCTGTTTTCCTAGGGCTTGAGGCTTTACTCTGTTCATAACACCTTTGCCCACACAAACCCCCTGTGTAGTCTTTCCCCTCACAGCTACCAAGCCTTGCCTGAGTATGAGCAGATGCTGCAGACCACTTGTGTGGCACCTGCCTTGGTGGCCTTATTTCCAAATCTCTGAGAGCTTCCATGGTGGGTGTGCCAGATCTCAGCATGGAGGTCAGGGCCACCACCGGGCTGGGTACAGGCTTCATCTCCCTGGTGCCTTTGTTCTGGACCTAACAGTAGCTGGACCTGTAGCTGGACCTATATCTCACACCATGGTGGCCATGTTGAGGAACTGCTGTCAAGACAAGGGACACTGTTTGTTTCAGAAAGTGGCCCGTAAACCACACCTCCATTACAGGAACAACTTGCACACATAATTTTGGAAGCACTTTCCTGATTAGATCTTTTGCCTCCTGCATAGAGATTTCTGTGGAAGCAAAAGCAAAACTCGATTTTATTGTTGCTTTTATCTTCCCGCAGATAACTGTGTGAGTACTTCTATAACCAGATTCTTTGTTTTTCTGTGTTGGCAGAGGAATGTCACAGCGTCCGGAGTCATCCCTCAGATTTCTCTGATCATGGGCCCATGTGCTGGTGGGGCTGTCTACTCTCCTGCCCTAACAGACTTCACATTCATGGTCAAGGTAAGAGCTGCACCTGCGTCTGGTGTCCTGAGAGTCCTGCGGGCTCTCATCTGCAATAAACAGAATGCCTGACCCAGATCTAGGTCCTTATCTGAGTTCTCATTGGTGTTTGGTGGAGCTGAGATACGGTGTGAGTGGAAGGCAGGTTTTGGCATGGGATCTGTAGTGGTTGAGGTTCAGTGGCAGCCGGTGCTTGTGTGCTGTGAGATTTTACCTATGATCTGAATTGCGAATGGTTTCCTATAATCAGCAGATCTCAACCTTGCCCAGACTGATGGCCTTCAACTGACTAGGGCTCCCTTGGGAGGGTCTGTTGTATTGGGAAGTGGCTCCTGGTGTCCCGAGTTTCTGCCTTTACCAGTTTGCTGTTTTACTATCCTGGTTGTAATGATAATGGGAGACTCGATCCCCAGCTTCGGTTGGAGAGGTGTAGGTTACCGCATCACCTGCCTTTAATAGAATGCATTTTCATTTTAATTGTTTTTCAAGGTAGATTTTGCCATGTAGTCCTGGCCTTTTGGATTAAGGGTGTGCACCATCACCATCCAGCATAGTTTTTATTTTATTTTACTTTTTGAAGTTATTTTTTCAGACAGTGTCTCACTATGTAGCCCTGGCTGGCCTGAAATTCACTGTGTAGACCAAGCTGGCCTGGAACTCACAGATCAGCCTGCCTCTGCCTCCCGAGTGCTGGGATTAAAGGTGTGCACCACCACCACCCTGCTGTGATGAATTATTTCTAGGTGGAATCTTCTCGAGCTGTTATGTGGGTAACTATCCTTAGTGCGATAGTTAAGACAGAAAGAAAGGCTGATTTTTTTTTTTTTTTTTTAATGTTCGAAAACTCAGCAGTAAATGCCATGACAGAGAAAGGCTGAGGGGAAAGTCACAGCAGTTGCCTGGTGTGAGGGACAATTCTAGAAGGAATGTGACTGGGGCACTTTGTTCTCAATCCCAGTGCAGCAGCTGGGATTCAAAAGTCCCCAAGAGCTCTCCAGAGCCCCACTGCTCTATACCTAGGGCAATCGGAAGCAGTTTTTTTTTCCTTTGTTTCCCCCCCTTGATTAAAAGTAGATTAAAAAAAACAAAACAAACCAATATGTTCTGCCTGTGGTCTCCCCTTCCTCTACTCCCCCCAGATCCTCCCCTCCTCCCCTCCTCCCCTCCTCCCCTCCTCCCCT